TAGCGGTTTTCTCTTGGGCCTTAATGGGTTAATGCGGTTTGCTTGCTATCCGTAACTAATCATTCCGACTCTATTAGACCACTGTCACTTATATTTGAACGCATATCGGCACTGAATTGATCTTCTGATCTCGGAAACTGCTTGACCTATGAAGAAAGCGTACGTGTTAGGTAACGTTCTCCTCGAAAGCATGCATCTGTCACATACAACTACTCTGATAAAACTTTGTCACGATGGTGCAGCCTGTGTATCAACGAATTGATTGATTGATTTTCGACTGCCAATAAAATTTCACACATGTTCGATCACGAGAGAGACAAGTAATAACATGTAAGGACCGTCGGTTGAAGAATGCGTGTCATTGCGCGCGCGCGCGCGATTACGTCTCTTCCAAACCGCATAGCCGTGCAACTCCGCGACGGCAATTTTTGCGGTATCGGCGATACAACTTTCTCGGCAGCCACGGGAATCGGAAATTGTCGGCGCGGCTTGTTTCAGGTAATGTCATTATTATTCCTCGCGGTTTGCGCCGGCCGTACGCGTCCGGGCGAAACTGGCAATTTGGCTTTCGCATTCGCGAGCGGAAGCCGATCGGAACCGATTACGTCCTGACGTTCGATCTGTATGTTTAACAAACGACCGCGCTCCCTCTTCCTCGTGCCGGCGAGTCTTCCGATTCTTCGATTACGTGTAATTGCCCAGCTCGCGGATTGTTCCGCGTTCGACAAGGACACGCTTCCGCGGCTTCGCTACGTTATCCCGCCGTCGAATAAGCCACATAAGCGCAGCAACAAGTCATTACTTTTTCTCCTCTCGCCCGGCCGGGAAAACGGGAAGGAAATCGGCGCAATCCATGCGTCGATCGTTAATGACTCTTGCGGCGCGGCTCTTTGTACGAAATGTCACGGTGAGCCAGCGCGTGTATGTGTGTGTGTGTGCGTGCATACGTCAATCCACGGCCGCGAAGTGAACGCAAAGAAGTCACCGCGGAGTTATTTCTCATCTCGCCACTCGATAAAATTGCGTATGACGAATCGGTTTATTACTTTGCGGGTGCTTTTACAGTAGCGCGAGAATCACCTGCGACGACCCTTCGCCGCGCACTTGCATCGCGCATACACACACCTCGCCGCTCATTATCGATGAACTCACGTTTCTTATTAATTCGCGGCATTTATTATATCCCTGTTCCGCGATTGAGAAACTGAGCACCGAGCGCCGCTGAATTATTCAGCTCCTCGGAGAGCCGGAGGCGTTTACGGCGAAAGAGACACGTGGCTGTTTACGGCGAAAGAGACTTTTTTCAGAGACGCACGTACGGCGAGGCGAGGGGGGGAGAAGTGGACGAACAATAATTTCTCCGGAGGAATCTCGGCGGCGTGGAATTTGAAAATCACTCGGCTAAGTCAGTCGGCCAGCGCCGGCACGAATACTTCAGGAGACGGAGCCTTCTCGACCCGGAGAGAGAAAGAGACGAGAGAGAACGAGAGGAGAGTACACGTCCTCTCTGTGATCGCGCGGCATCCCTCGCCGTGCAGGCGAATGTAGGTCCTCGGGTCGGCACCTATAATACGAACTACCTCCTACCTCGCCGCGCCGCTTCGGGAACAGTACTTCTCCCTCTCCGCTGAACCCCACCAACCTCCGCGGAGTTCATTGAGAGCACGATAACAGGTGTCCCGCATACCGTGCAATGAGCGTAGCCCCGACGAGACGACGTCGGCTCTAGCGTCACATTTTTTCAGTAGGACACTAGTCATGAATATGTAGATCTCTCTCATTTGGAGGGGGAGGGAGTGGCCCGGTCCCCTCGCTCCTTCGCTTCAGGTGAGAGGAATCGACGATTTCTGGTCGTTCGTGTGAAACATGAGAGCGCGTTATTGACAATAACACAAATACCTCGATGTGCTCACGAAGATCCTAATCTATAAAATGCTTTAACGTGACTAGTGCTAGATATGAAATGTGGTCGTTAAAGTCTGTTTTCACGCGATTATATTGTGTAGCTCTGAGCGTGCCAAGTGTTTCTCAGTCTCCATTTTTAAGACTCTGACATTGAAAGACATTCAAACGGACTAAAATATTAAGTATGCATTCCAGGATGCCTAGTCTTGTGGTGTTTATGTGTGAAACGTTGCTTTATTTCTTAAATAATGCGTTATTTCTCTTATTTCCAGTGAGTTTTAATATTGCCATTTCTGCAGCATTTGTTCTCACTTGGTCCAACCTCCTGATATCACTTCTTTTGTAGGAAATACAAGTTTAAACACAATATTTTATCTTAATGTTTTAATTTTATTTGAGCAAGATTGATAATAACACGAATGCCTGACGTAGTTATATAGGTGATGGACGAGTGATTGATAGAATTCGTTGGTTTCGGGAATGTCTGAAGCAGAAAGCTTCAGTTGAACTTCTGCGAATTTCCGTTATTTTATCGGGAGTACATTCGATTTTAATATGGTTTGGACACAGTTTCAGTTCAATATAGTTCGAAAAGCAGCCGATAGTTCAACGAGAGAACACATTACGTGGACGGGTCACATGAATTCTCGTGTACTTTTACTAAAATACGAGGCAGATCATAAAAATTCTTTCATGAGGATTGTGTTGTAACATAACAATATTAAGTAATGCAAAGATTTGTCGTTTGTCTATTAAGAGCTTTGAGTAGTTTGTAGGCATGAATTAAAGGAGTTCTTCTTTTAACTTTGGAATTCTAAACGTAAGCCCCTAATCCTGGATAAATTTTAGGCAGCACATTTTCATTTACTTATAATTCTCGAAAAAAAATTGAGATTCAATTCTTCAAAATTGAAATTCAATGAAGTTGAAAAAAGTTATAATAAAAATCGAAACACTTTTTAATGTTCTCACTCCTTTCATCAATAAATGCAAGAAAAATGCATAAGAAATAAAATTTAATACAAGATATAGGCGTTTATGGTTTGCTGATTATGAAGTCAAATGTATAAAATTATTTATATAAATAATAAAATGTTTAAACAAAACTTGTAAAAAGTTGAAAAAAAATTATTTATACAAATAATTTCTCGGTTTAGCTGAGATTCGAATCCTGTTTGACTAATTTAGTACAGATTTGAAATATTTCGGTTGGAATCTCGGCTAAAGAAATTTAGAATGGTTTGTGTCTCAGCTATGTCAACTTTATTAAAATTTTAATTAAAATTGTCGGATTTCTCTTTCTCTCTCTCTCTCTCTCTCTCTCTCTCTCTCTCTCTCTCTCTATCTATCTATCTATCTATCTATCTATCTATCTATCTATCTATCTATCTATCTATCTATCTATCTATCTATCTCGGTTTGGTCGAAATTCGAACCGTTTTTGACTAATTTAGCATAGATTTAAAATATTTAGGTTGGAATCTCAGCTAAAAAAATTTAGAATGGTTTGTGTCTCAGCTATGCCGATTTTGTTAAAATTATTTAACTTATGTTCAAATTTATTTCTTTTACAAATTTTATTTCTTTTACAAACTTATTTTACAAATTTATATTCAATTTTATTATCTTGTATTAAATTTTATTTCTTTCAATTTTATTATGCATTTTTGTTGCACTTGATGCTAGGAGTGAGAACATTAAAAAGCTATAAACTACCCGTGAAACTCAAAGTGGGCCAAAATGAAAAAAATATGACCTAAATATTTTTCGTACTTTTATATTTGTGCCAAATTAGAAAGAAATCGGAGTGTATCTTTTTAGATTTATTCGTAAGTTACACTGAGATTTTCATATTATATTTTACATGACATATTTGTTGGAGCGAATTTTGGTAATTTTTTTCGTATTTCTTTCATATTTCTATCTTGTCAATCTATATTGTAAATAGAATGATGTATGAGCCACTCATAAAAACATGCGACTTTTACAAATCGACTGTTAAAGTTGCTGCCAAATTTACGTATATCTGTTTATTTGAGTTGCTGCTAAATTTATGTATATTCACGGCCAAACAGAGTTCTTCGCTATATTTTTGTGTGATTCTGGAACGTATCCGTTTTGTCCAATGAGATAATTCTTCTATTCAAAACAAGTTTCTCCCATTAAACGATATGTTTGGATAATCACATAAAAAATAACAGACAACCTATTTGGCCGCAAGTGTATTGTCTGTCTGGGAAATTTGGCCATTAACAGAGAAATGAGAAGTCCTCAATCTAATAACTGGCCTCCGAGCATGACTATCAATAAAACTGCTGACCCGCAGTGTGTTAACTTCCGGGAATTAATGGGAAACAAGTTCTCTCAGTGGATCGCCAGCTGCGTTCCGAAGTGTGCATTGAAAAACAGTGGCCAAGCCATATTGAAACCAAGTGTACGCGCGATCACAATGAGATCACCGTCCAACTATTCGCGCTCGATCGCCACGCTCGATCGCGACCCGGTCCGCCGACCTGAGGCGCGACAGGGTCTTCCAGCGCGCGCTGCATCTGCCAAATGCAGCCGACGACGGCTAACGGGTGCACCGGTCGATTGGTAGCACGAGCCGTAGATGGCGAAGAAGGGAGATGTGGACCGGACCTACATCTACCTTGACCCGCCAACGGCTAGGCTAGGTTTATACTCCTATTGTGTGGCTCTTTCGCGGACTTCACATGCATCTTCGTGCACATCATTCATTCGGTTGTCCTCGCGTTGTTTATCGCGTTATCACGAGTCCAAAAGGAACCCGTCGCGAGGACCTTCGCGAGAAATAGGAACTCCCGCGGAACTCCGGCAGACGGCCGAGGCGAGTACTCGGGCAGGCCGCAACGGCGACGGTTGCGCGACGACGTATCCCGGTGCCAGTTCCGTCCCGGTGCTCGGCCGACCAACCGAGAGCGCCAGGAGACGAAGAAGAAGAAGAAGCGGGAAAAGGAGTCGGGCGGGTAGGGAGAGAACGGCGAAGAGGGGTCCTACCCGCTTCGCCTCTGGTCTCTCTCTCTTGATACACCTTTCTCCGGTTCCCCAACACCCGGCGGCGGGCCTTGGTTCCCCTTCAGTCCTCACCGGGACACAGACAAAGTTTCGCACCCGGAGAAAGGTCAATCGGTCGGCCGCTCCGCGCGCACGGAGGAGCTCTCGTAACTCCCGTTCGATAACCAGGTGTAATTTCCTCTTTATCGTGTTACGTTCGTCGGATAGCGCTTCGGGTTACCAGCCGGTCGGCTTCTTCTCCTCATCTTCGGCTTTTCTCCTCTTCTTTATCTTTTCTTTTTTTTTTTCCTTTTACCGCCGTCTCCTACGCTGTCTCAATCGCGTCCGTCCTGATCGCGCGCTCGCGACGATAATAACATTTCGCCTCCACCAGGAGGTCAGGAGATCGTCGGGTCCAGGTGGTTCGAATCCGGAAGCCGCCGCTCTGGGATCGTTTTAGTGCTCATGTAACGGACGCAAGTAGCACCGGTGCGCGCGGAATTGGTTTACGTGAGAGTGCGCGTCTCTTCTTCGTAACTCCGGCCCAGTTCAAAGTGCCGTCGGTCCGCGGGACTCGAGCAGATGGACGGCGACATGTGGAGGCTTTGGTTTACGAAATTGCTTCTGCTAGTGACGCTCCTGCTGGCGATTACGGCTCAGACGCGGTCGCAGGGTGAGTTTTGCACATTTCTGAACTCCTGGCGAGTCTCTGTCTCCTTCTGGAACGGCACGGCCGTTCTCTTTTGCAGGCAGGTGCGAAATTAATCGTAAGAATCGCGACGCGCGTCTGCCACGCGCGATTTACATAGACTTTGAGACAATCGGCCTTAATGCGCTCGTCACAGCCGTTGACGTGTGACTGACAGTCAGCTAGACGGCTAGACGGCTAGCATCTCCCGCGCCCGGCGTAACACGGAAACAGCTCGCGCGCGTGATAATTTCTTTTGTAACACCTGTTCTTCCGCGTTCACCTCGAGATAATGCGGCGTTTTCCATTAACAGGACATCTACCCGTGCACACACGACTTGTGTAACGCTAGGCTCGGCAGAAACGAGCCCGCGCGTAACTAGTTTCTTCTTCTTTTTCTCCTTCTCCCACCGCCCGCGATTAAAAATGTGCGCGGCGTAACGAGCGCGGGACGGACTTTTTGGCAGCGAGGGAAACGCCGCGACAAGATGCGAAACCAAATTTGGGTTTTACTCAATCGAAGTTCACTCACTTGAGTACTTAAGGTTATTTATTTTCATAAAAATAACGTCGAGAGTCACGGTCGAGTTTCCCGTGCAAGATTTCCCCCGTTGAGAGATACTTGTGAAAAAAAGAAAAAAACATGTATAAAGATAAGGAATTGATGACTCGTGCGATACGCCGCGCCGTAGTTTACCACAGATGTTGTCGATGTTAATTTTAATTGACGCCAAATCGCCCCGGCGCTCGCGCAAACTTATGGAAACACATTGGAGGCGTCACTTACGCTTTATGTGTTATAAACCGTATAACGGTCTGCGCGGCTTATGGTGCTCAGTGGCGTGTACTTTATACAAGCATCCGCTCGTTCGATACCTCGATCCAGTATCGGGCGATCCGGACAAACCTACCTACGTTTCTCCGGTTGTGCCATCGAAAAGCGCCGTTATCGCCGCAGCATTTCGCAGCCTGATTTCCCGCTTGTCACCGGCGAAAGGTCGCGTTTTCTCTTACCCTCATTGTACATAACGTTATTAACACATCGCGGTCGGATCACGAGAATTCTCATTGGGTCTCTATATACAGAGAAATACACGCTGCATTCAAATAAATGTTGCTTGTTCAAATATTTCATAAGTTTATACAGGGTGTCTGATGCACAGTGTCCTGCATCTCATGTAGATTAAGTCAAACTGAACACAAAGTTTCTCTACCATTTTGCAAACAACCAGGTAAAATATTGAGCTATTAACCAAAGAAGATTGGCGAACAATCATGTATACTGTAAAAACTGATGTGTCAAATTTAACACATTTCATGTGTTTCAAATCATCCACTCTCATTTATGTATAAATTTAACACAAAACAAATGTGTTAAAAAGTAACACGTATAATATGGAAAAAGTTAACACAAGAATTTAACACTTGAATACCGTTAGGAATCACTGGTTGTGTTAAATTGACATATTTAATATGTCAGACATAGATTATCTCAATTTAACATCTTCATTTCATCAAAACCGTAGGTTAATATTTCTCTCAAATGTTAAAGTAACGTTTTATTTTAATTAATTTAACATACATATGGCAATTTAACACAAACTGTGATTCCTGACGGTATTCAAGCGTTAAATTCTTGTGTTGATTTTTTATATATTGTGCGTGTTACTTTTTACCACATTTGTTTTGTATTAAATTTACACATAAATGAGAGTGGATGATTTGAGACACATGAAATGTTAAATTTGACACATCAGTTTTTACAAAGTACGCGGCAGATGAGTGTAGTAGCGATCTGTCATCGCGCATTTGTAAATTAGGTCAAACTGAGCAAAAAGGTTCTCTACCATTTTACAAACATATACAACAGGGATTAGTTATTAATTAAAGAAGATTGATGCATTTTTGATGAGGAATTATCCGCCACTCTTCTTTAATTGATAACTCAAAAATCTATTGTAGTTATTTGCAAAATGATATAGAACAGTTTTGTTTAGTCTGACCTAATCTACAAATACACGATTGTAAACATTGCTATCACGGTTCATCCACTGTGATTATTCGTCAATGTTTTTTAACGAATAGTAAAACATTTACATGGTTTTTGCAAAATAATAGAGAATTTTTGTGTTCAGTTTGACTTAATCTACATGTATCTACAAGATATAAGATATTTTGCGTCAGACACACCCAGTATATTCACAATCTGTAACAAATTTATCTTAAATACCAAGTTTATTCAATTATGAATCCTAGCAAGTTTAGTATTTCAACAACAATGAATATTAAATTAAACAAAAATTCAATTTGTTTGAACAACACCAATCAATTTTTTTTTGATAAATTTTATAATGTTCTTGTAAAAACATCAAATCTTTTTTTGAGTACACAATAAGCTTTTTCGAATTTTGTGATGAGTATATTTTAAAATTATTGCCAAAAAAATTTCTTTGATTGAGATAATCGTTACTTAAAAGAAGGAAAGTAAGCTGAATAATCGCTTTTTTTATTTTCAGTAAAATCGTATTTTTCTGTGTAAAAAGATATTCTAGTTGATATTCGTTTTATTCGTAAAAATTACTGATCCTTCGAAGTGGGATAATTTCTTTCTCTGTTTAATGACAAACCTTTTGCATCAGCATGGCTTAGCAATAGAACGATTGGTCCGTCATGTGTTAAATCGTCATTAAAGTAATTGATCTGTAAACCCATTTTTCTAGGTATTTTTAAAATTTCTAACAGTATATTAACGGATACACGATCTCTGCACACATATATGATCAGAAAAAAATTGATTGTGTCGAAGCTGAAGGAATTAAAGTCAAAGTTATATGTATTACATGTATGAAACGGATGCTGATATCACGTTTTTAATTCTCGCAACCAAATTACTCTTACGCTTTTAATAAAAAACGGCGAAAGGGACTTGTGGAAATATTACAAAAAATTACAAGATCGTTAACTGTCCAGTTTCCAAGAAATTGATGTGACAAGTACACAATTTCTGGTAGCAGTTAAAACGTATATGACAGCTAATATGTTATTCTTCTAGTAACACTTATTAGTGCGAGTTTTTTGGCACAAATGCGTAACGCAGGCAGTCCCAGCCAAAAGTTTTACGCGTTAAAGCGCGAGGAACGATTATTTCTTTATAGAAATATTTTATAAATTTAATAGACCTTGTCTTGCGATAATGTCAAGGCTGTATGATTGTGGACAGAGAGATTGTTGGCTATTTTTGTGTGAGTTTCGAATTTTTTATTGGAAAACAAATTCTCCCATTGGACAGAACGTATAAGTTCCGAAACTTACACTAAGAAAAGAGAAATACTTGAAAATTTACTTGTGATTGTGAATTTATTTATTCACAGAAATAAACTTTATATTTTACAAATAAAATTTCAAGTATTTTTCAAATGTATCTCAAAAAGTCAGACAACACTTCAGTTCACAACTGTGTATCATCAGTCCTATTTGCAAACATTTAACATAGATTTGTCGGGCTTCTTCGTGTCGTATTAATCGTTAACTTCTTAACAGTATCGTCACAAACTAGCTACTTTAAGTCTCTTGCTTCGTGCATTGACGATCATATAATCGGAGGCGATCTTTATGCGAAATATACGGTACATAACGCATACGTTCATTCATCTTATGTTTAGCCTGAGATTCGCCGTGGTTACTTTGCATATTCATGAATTTGCCCGAAAATAGGATAAGAAGCGGTAAAATCTCGGCGATTTAAAGGTAACGCGAGAGGTGCTCAGAAGGACCTCACAGTCCGAATTCCTCTCCGACTCGGTGACCGATCGAGTGGCGGTCTCAAAACGTGTCTAAACGGAGACGACCACCTCAGAATATTTTCGTCGATGATGCGCGCGTGCGTTGTTCGCAAATTTCGTTTCTCAGCCGATCGGTCGGTCGGCGAAACGAGCGAACCGGGACGATCGCGATCGAGATCGGGATCGAGCGGACAGGGCGCGGAGGAGGGCGCGCTCGCATTATCCGAAGCATTTTTATCGGCGGCGGTTGGCCTTGCGGACATTAGTTCAGCAAGCGGTTCTCTCACATTCACTCCTGCGAAATAGGAGAGATCGAGAGACGTTACCAAGGATCTCTCCTCTAATGAGTCTCTTGATTCTGATAGATCACGACAGTGTGAGATGGAGCGAGAGAAAGAGAGAAGTGTTCCCGGGGTTCTTGAATATGGGACGCAAGCGCGACACAAATCGGCATGGCGGGCTTTACGAGTGAACCAAAAGGAATTGCGAAGTCTCCCGTTGAGGTCACGGAGATGAGCGAATTCGATAAGCGGGTGGATTTTAAGGAAATGATCGTCGGCGATCGCGATCTTTACTGTCGAGGCGCGTCGACACGCCTTGGTGTATTGTCTTGTGACATTTATGGCTAATTCTACAATAGTAGTTTAAACCTAGATGTAAAGAACTTAGATGCCATATTTGTAAACTCTATCGATTATTTTTTCTGTAGAATCATATTGGTTGTACAGAATTTTAATGCTTTAATAATTAACAGTCCGAATAGTAAGGTATTTTCGGTACCTTCGGAATGGTAATCAGAGTTATGCGTCTTCCTTGCCACGGTTCCTTTCCTTAAAAAGACTTGGTGATGAGAAGAACTCAGAGTTCATGAGCCATTGGGAAAACCTTATCGAATGTCGAGCAGTTCAAGTTATATGTGGACACAAATGACTCTGGTTATCACTCAAAAGTATGAGTTTTAGCTTACCATTTTTTATATTCAATATACGAAAGCCTAAAAAATCAAATAAATTGGAGCATTGTTTAATATATAAAAAGAACGCTAAAAATTTTTGAAATCGATCTCCGTTATCGACATTTTTAGGATTCGTCATCCATTTCGGCATTCCCTTAAGTTTGAACTCTGTTCAAACACATTAAACACACTACTGAAATAAAATTTAAGCTCAAACTTAAATTTAAATTATTATTAAAAAATCGGTC